AAAAAAAAAAAAAAAAAAAAAGGAAACAAGGAGATAAAATTGACACAGGGGAAAAGAGTACAAAATGGGGATTTACCCTGTTCTGCCCTCCCCATTTCCTGGCTAGCTCTCAAAGATGACTCCAGGTGGGAAAAGCAGTGACCCACTAGGGTCTGTATGATATGAAAGAAAAATCTTACATAATAGCTCTGACAGGTACACTCACACATATATTCCTGTGTAAAGAATGTATGTCTACTGTAACCTACTTATATATCACCATCATTGTATAAGAATCCTTTGGGAGATTAGCTAAAAGCCAATTCCTTTAATCCTCCCCCCAAATGCGTGTCCTTAGCAAAGTCTACAACAGAAGGATTAACATAAAAATAATTCTTTAATCTGCTTTCCATTTTCTAATTCCTAAACACCTAAATCATTTCCAACAACCTTCTTAAAGATCCCAAGAATGAGCTAGGTGTGGTGGCACATGCCCGGCATTTAGAGAGGCTAAGGCAGGAGGGTAGCAATTATTAGTTTACCATGGGCAACTTAGCAAGACTGATAATTGAAAAAATTTTAAAGTAGCTGAAGATGTAGCTCAGTGCAAAGATCCAGGACCCCACTACTATAAAAACAAACAAACAAAGAAAAGGATTCAAAGACTTTCTTACCATTTTTGCTTTCCTTCAAAATCAAAGAAGCTTGGTTTAGGAGTGTTGCAATTTCCAACTTTGACCTAAACAAGGAGGAGGAAAAAAATGTCAAGAACTTATTTTTCAAAGAAGTGTCTAAGAACTTTTTTTAACTTCATTCTTTTTTAACTTTATGATGTGTATTTAGCAACTTACTTTTCAAAGAAATGTCTAAGAACTTTTTTTTTCAACTTTATGATGTATGTTTTTAACTCAAATTAAAAAATATTCTCATATATATAAAATAACAAAATTTAACATCCTTTGCTAAACAAATGAAAACCACAAACAAAAACTTTAAATAGAGGTAGCTTAGACTTACTGCATAAAAGAATTGTTATCTAATATTATAATATAGAAAAATGTGGGTGACAAATACTTTTATTCCTTAATAGACTTAATTATGTTTAAATTATAGATCATAGTCTTTACAATCATTATAACAGAGAAAAATTTTTAAAAATTTTAATCATTATAACTGAGAAAAAAATGAAATTAATAAACTTAAGGTTCAGTTTTTCAGAATTCATATGAATGTTTCTTCATGCTGATTCTAATACTATTAGCACTTTATATCTCCCAGAATCTAGAATAAAGTGTATTATTTTGAAACTCATCAATATAAATTTAGATTCTAAAAAATTTCAGCGGTTTTTAGCAAAAATATAAACTCTATTCCACAATAATCTCTTGTTTGTGGTCAGTGATTATCTTTTTTTTGAGACAGGGTCTCACTACGTAGGTCAGGCTAACCTTAAACTCATTACGTAGCCCAGGCTGACCTCTATCTCATGGCTTTCCTCCTGCCTCAGCCCCCTGAGTGATGGGATTACAGGCAAGCGCCACCACACCTGGGCTAATGATTATTTCTAATCCTCAAACGACATTTGTACTTAAATTATGTATTTTTTCATCATGTATAAGTGAAATTTGCACAAATGCTGAACTCACCATGCAGCCCCTGGTTGTCACTACCAGAAGTAATCTCCATTCCTCATGAACATCTATCAACATATCTGTATTTCTTTTGACATTTTTATGTTTTCTACCTTGTGTAAGAAACTGTTGCGCAAAGTCTTATCTTTCTATTAGAACAGAACCTCTAAGAAACTGTGCTTGGGCTGGGGATATAGCCCAGCGGCACAAGCTCTTGCCTGGCAAGCGCAAGGTCCTGAGACCAATTCCCAGTACCAAGAAAAGAGAAAGTGTGCTTAACTTCCCACAGCACCTTCTTCTTAGGGACTTCCCATTACCTTCTACTACTCTTGCACATTTGAATTTTGCTAAAATCAATTCAGTGCTGTCATCTGACCTTAATTTCTACTCAATGATATAGGGATTTTTTGTCCTGTGTTTTGTTCATATTATTACATTTACCCAAAAATGCCTTCTCTTTTTCTCTGAGCTTTTCAAAAGACTGTATCTCCTACCAGTCTTGCTCATCGTTTGGATTTTAAGAACTCTTTCAATCTACATGATTTCATTTACCTCTAAATTCATAAACTTTATCACCTCTATCCTTTCCTTAGCTATTAATCACATGGCTATAATTAAAATATACACTGCTATAGAAGCAGGCCTGTTATGATAGAAAGGAGGAAAGAAATGGTAAGAAAGAAAATGCTGCACTTCTTAAACAGTCACCATAGACCAAATGCTTAAAGTTATCTCAATGAGTCACACAATAGTCCTGCAAGGTACAGCATTACAAACACATTTTGTAGGGGCTGGGGATTTAGCTCAGTGGCAAAAGTGCCTGCCTTGCAAGCACAAAGTCGTGAGTTCAACTCCTGGTACCAGAAGAAAAACAAAAGCAAAACAAACAAACAAACAAACAAAAAACACATTTTGTAAATAAGGATAGAGAAGTTCAGTATGTTTGCCTCAGTTATTTCATTAGTAACTACTAAATCAGCAGTATTTGAATTCAGGACTGTTTGAACCCAAAGCCCAATACTCCTCTGTATTACTACCTTACATGCTATATAGAATCTAGGCTTCAGTTCTGGCACCTCTGAAACCACACGAACAACTGGACTGCTACAAATATGAAGTGAGATTAAACTATAAAAACTATGTAAGACATCATAAAAAAAGCAGTTATTACTAATATTTTTTTTCTTGTCCAGATACCAGCCAGTTGTGGAAACAAATGCCAATATCTGTTCTCTATTTCTACAATAATTGTCATGGCTGGGTCCATAGTCCTTCAATTAAACAGTACATCTGTCCATACAACCTCTGCCTAAGTTCTGGGGGACTGAATGTGTGTGAAAATTATAAAAATATCTTCCTTAAAAATGGTCTTGTCTTCTCCTTTTCTTTGTCTTGACTAGAACATTCATGTGCTAATGGTAAGCCTCTCTGGCCATGAAAGAGGAATTTATAGCAGCCATTTTCGTGCTTTGGGACTTTATAATTCCTTTTTCCTCAGAAATTAAGGACCTTAAACACCTTTGGTTCCTGTGACTTCTATCTATTGATATTTACTATAAGTTAAAACAGCTATTTTAAAATATGCATTTATTTGAAAATTACAGTAAGCCTATGACATGTTAACATAAATTTTAAAGTTTATGAAAAATAACTGCATATCTAAACTCAAAAAATTTAGAGAGAAAAATGGTACCATTTTACATTTTATAAAATCTAATAATGTCTGGCTCAGTTGTATTTTCATATTTACTTCTGTATCGAATATATTGGTATATGTTCCTTCGGTTGAAGTAGATGAAGAAAATTCAGCACCACCGATATGTCATATAAGAAAAGTATTTTGGTAGCATTTTCAGGTAATTGTGAATATTCTTCTTTGATACTACACCAAAACTCAACAAGTGGCACTTTCTTTAAGTTAACTTTAATGTGAAATCTAAATTTACATCAATGAATTTTTCATACTCATACTGAAAACTGTTGGCCTGATTTATACTTTGAATGGATCCTTTATCTACACATGATTTGCAAATCACTTAATGAAGTATTTAGAAAATACAGTTCATTGAACTATGCAGATTTTCCAAATGTTGACATAATTTCATTATACATTAGCAAAATTGCACACTAGTTATTGTCACCATTTATCTTTTAAAAAAATTGTTTAAGTATGGAAACTGTCAAGCTCACAGTGGCAGATTTTCCAAACTTCTAATTTTTACTTGAAAGCTCAAATATTATCATTGGCAACAAATATTTACAGTTGTTCTCCTTGACGTAACAAGCGTCACTTCTTTCATTTCCAAGAAACTATCTGCCAAATAGTACTCAAATTTTAATACATATAATTTATCTGTAGTTTGCTCTAAGCAAAAAAAAAAAAACAACAAAAAACAGATATACGACTGTATTTCCTGCCATTGCCTTGATTCAGTTTAAGGCATTACCAGTTTTATCCATCAGGCCAACATAAGAAAAAAACACAAAAAATGTCTTAGTATTATTATGAAAATAGTTTTGATCTTATGGATCCCCTGAGAAAGTCTTAAGGATTTTTAGTGGTCTATGGGCCACAATTTGAGAACTTCTGCCTTAGAGATGGCTGAGCTATGACATGGAAAAATAGAGGCCCCTGGGTGGCTTCATGAAGCAGAGCCACCCTAACCTGTTCTCTAGATCACCTACTTCCAGATCATTATATGAAATAAAAAAGCTTCAGCAGTTGACCCTGTATCCTCAGTGACACAGAAACTTTTATAATTCCCAAGTTCAAATAGTTCTGGATCTAGAAGACTGCAGAAAATAAAATTCAACATTTTAGGACATCATAACTTGCAGTGTCCAAAATTGGTACATACCATAAGCACCTTAACACTGTTCTCTAAGACAGACAGACATGACTTGCAGTGCCCAAAATTGGTACATACCATAAGCATCTTAATGCTGTTCTCTAAGACAGACAGATATAAAACATATCCAAAGCCCTTAAAACAATATTTGAACAAAGACTGCCAGTGACAAAATGCAAGTGAATCAAGTGTGCCAAAGTTAAAGAGGGCATGCAGAGTATCTTCACTTGTGCTATTACTGAAGGCTCTTATAAAATGAACCTGACAGAATTTGAAATTTGCATTGATTGCCATCCAGTTCTTACAGGTGTCAAACTTTTCTGCTGGAAAAGTGTAAGCTAATACATAGAAGGAGCAAAAAACTTAATTGGTTGCCAGCTAAGAGGTGACTACATTTCGCTTGGAAATAAGATACTAATGATGACTCTAGTACTGATACAGATATGTCCAAAGAAAGAAAAAGAAACTCTTCTACGGAATTTAGAGAAAATTCATTTTACACTGTTCAGAGAATGGTCTGTCAGATATACAACAGGTCCTAGCACAATACTCACTATATACTTGTTAAATATTTGAAAGTTTCTTTCTAATGTTGTTAAGACAAGTAAATGACCAAAAAGAAAACAGGTACAGAACTTTTGCAAGAAAGCTAATTCCAAGGCCAATTTGGGATAAACTTTCATTCAACACTATCATTTATACCGTTAGTACCCACAGCTCTGATCTCTCAAGTTACATTCACAGGAGTCAGTCTTCAAAAGAAGGTTCATCTCTATTCAGCATATTCAGCTTAAGAACACAGGGGAACTCCTCTACATATCACTATTTTTAAAAAATACAGGGGAAAATACGTAATTACATCAAGATAATTACATCGAAAATGTTTTTAATAAAATAAAATAGGCTACTATCCAGAACTTCATTGCTTTCAGTGTTCCAAGGAGCTGTAGTTTTCCTGAGCCGTTACTTTGGTGGCAATTTTTCACATGTTTATATGTAGATCCCTCAAGTACTTTGTAACCCTTTTAAAGTCAAGTGTCATGATGCTTTTCCTTCTTTGTATTCTCTGTAGACATGACACAGTGTTTTGCAGATAAATATTTGTTAATTATGATAGCAATTTTTTTTATTTTTATTATGGTACCTAATCAGTGACTCCTTGAATGATAAATTAAACGTGGCTTCCATGAGTAACTCATACCTTTTTGTACTTCCAGGTAAGGCTCAAAGCTTTAGACAGAGTCAGGAGCGATAATGTAGTTCTGACTGATTTATCCATGACTCTAGAGATGTTGTCTGCTCTTGGGTTTACTTTTCCTTTTTTGAAAAGAACATTGTTTCATCTGGTGTTTACCACCTCTAAAATATTTATGACTGTGTCTAAGACAGAACATATTCAGCCCAAACATAAGTCAAAGATATTTAGGATTTAAAAACAAACACACTAAAGGTTGTAATGCTTTATTTTGTACTGCATCACTTTACTACAGTGAAATTATCCTCTTAGTTATCAAAATATTTTTTATAAACACCATATATATCTCCACGTGGCCTTCCAGCAAGAGTAAACGGTAAGGCCTATTTCATTATCCTCATTTTGTAAAGGTTCTGAGGCTGGTAAAGTAACAGGTCACCGAGTCAGAGGAGACACAGAAAAACTGTCAGAGTCCGGCTAAATAAAATATCCTTCCTAAGAGAGGAGACAGATCTTTCCCATGTCTAGAATGACGCTCAACGAACAAATAGACTTCATTACACCTTGCCTTAAACCATGCCCGTCTGCTCTCAGTTTTTGAGCACTGATGAGAAGGCCCCGTGTCTCTACCGCGTCCACTCCTTCGCTACCTTACCTGCTTGTACCTGGCGTACAGGTACAAGAGCTGCTCCCTGCTGGCCACGTGAAGCAGGCTTTGCAGGTGTGCGGCAGCCTTCTCAAACACCTCCGTCAGGCTCCTGGACGCCTCGGTCTCGGGGGTCTGGGGCGATTCCACATCGCCGGAGTCATCCCCGGAGCTCAGCTCTCCACCGCTGTGACCCGTGGTGGCCCCCGCGGTCAGCAGCGGTGTGGCCATGACTCCCGGTTCGCTCGTCCCGGGCGCGGGGTCAGCCCTCTCCGGATCTGCGGCTACGCGGACTCGGGGCCTGGCCGCCCGGGCTGGGACCCCAGCGCGCTCCCTCCGCGCTGGGCCCTCGCCTAACTTGGCTGCCGCCTCGCCGGTCGGAGTGCCCGGGGTACGGGGTGCCCCTTCCCCTGAGGGCTTCCTCCCCTAACAGATCGCGGCCTGGGGCCTGGGGCGGCTTGGACGGGCAGTGCCGCAGAGGACAGCGCGCAGCCGGGGCGAGTGGCCCGCGGCTTCGGGGCTGGGCGGACCGAGCCGGAGGCGGGGGCCGCGCGCCAGAGACCACGGCCTCCCCTACGAGGACTGGGGGACCTCACGAGAGGGACGCCAACTGGAGAATATGCCCTCAGTCGTTGCGGTGTCACGAGTTGAGATTTGTCAAACTCAGCAACCTGCTGTCGGCATAGGCCACGGGGTTGGGGGGTCGTTTGGTGGTGTAGCGATGGGAACCGAGCCGGGGGAAACATGGGGCTGAGGACAAAGGTTCCGGCTGCTCCTATTGGACCCAGACGGTGTGCTGCAGGAGCTCCCCAACAGGCATGCGCGTGCAACTGTAGCTCGAGAGTTTGGGTGGTTTGATTTTGTTGTTGTTTTGGTGCCGGAAATTGAACTTAGGACCTTACGCTTGCCAGGCAGGCGCTTGTGCCGCTGAGCTAAGTTTGGGTGTTTTGAAAAAATGAACTAACCGGGCTGGGGATATAGCTCAGTGGCACAAGCGCCTCCCTGGCAAACGCAAGATCCTGAGTTAAATCGCCAGTACCGCAAAAAAAAAAAAAAAAAAGAAAAGAAAAAAGAAAAATGAACGAACTGATGGGAGGTGATGATACAGGAATATAAAACTCCCAACCTGAACAATATCTGGGACGAGTTCGTGTTCTCTAAAATCGAAGAATGAATTTTAGGAACCACGGAAGTGAAGAGCAGAATATATTTATTGAGGGAAAGAAAGCTTCTCTCAGAGAGAGGCACAGAAGGGGGCTTGAGTGGGTAGCCAAGGACCTTGCCCCTCCCAGGGACTTCATAGGGCAAAACCACGAGGTGAGGCGGGTCCAAGATAGGGGGGAAATGGGAAATTACGAGGTGGGCATAAGGTGGGACAAAACTATGGTCAGCCATAAGATTACAAGTATAATTGTTCAGGTAAAATCGAGTAAACTGGGATCAAATGGGGAAGCCAGTCAGGTAGCAAGCGGGTATGAATGCAGAACAGGGACTTTTCCTGTAGGGGGTTGGGCTAGTGACTCTTTGTCTTTTTGAGGGTGATAGCTACCTATTTAGAATATCAATCCCTGATGTTTACACCTAAAGAAGTATGCAGGTACGTTTGTGTAGTCCTTTGCCTTGAGGTCTGGCCCACAGCAAATACGTCTCTATTCACAAGGTATCTTATCTTTCATGTTGGCTCCTTCCAGGGCCTGGCCCTGTCTGACTGCCTATAATATTTCTAACTCAGCTGCCTGTAACAGTGAGACCTTTGCTGTCTTACCATGTTTGTGATGGGTCTGAGAATAGGCTTTATGGAGGTAACCCCCACCTTCCTTAGCACAATTACTGAGCTTAGCCTTTGCCCCTGTGCTTTGCAGGCACAAAGCAAAAAGTATGTCATAGTTCTAGTGTTGTAGGAATTGCAGTCCTCTGGTGGGGCAAGAAACCCAAAGGGCACTCCAAGAGATAGAGGAATCCAAGCTATTTATTATGCCTGCCAAGCCAGAGGAGCTGTGTTCTCCAAATTCTGGGCAACAAATAGTGGGGTCGGGGAGATTTTATACTGTAGTTTACTTTGGGTTGGGCTGGGTTGGTCGAGCAAAGCCGAATTTTACAAAAGCTGAAGTCTGAAGGTGTTATATCCTGAGTTTAGAAGTGTGACAGAAACAGAAGTTACATGAAACACCTTTTGATTGCAAGATAAACTCAGAACATTATCAGTTGGGAGAGGTTGTGGAGCCTTGTACCCTGAGGCAGGAAGTGGGGACTGGTAAAAACATGGGTGGGGGCTTAAGGTCCTGACTTTCCTGATTACTAGTGCAGTTAGAAACCAAGGAGCTGATTCCCTCCTTCCCCTTCATTCAGCTGTAAATGCCACACCACCCTAATGATTATCCATGCTTCCATAATCTTAAAAAGAGGCAGTACAGTTAGAAACAGGGAAATTGTGTAAATCATCCCCTTCAACCATAAACACACCACCACCCTAATGATTAGCCAGGTTTAAATTTAGGAGGTTACAATGCCAGAAGAGGTAGATTACTGACATCAATGAGAGACACAGTGGGGGAACCTTGGATCAGCCTGTCTGACCCT